CCCGAAGACGAAGAGGGCAGTGAAGTGTAGTGTAGCGATAAGATAGTGGCAGCCATAGCTGCCATAGCTATAGTAGCGTGTGTGTGTGTGTGTTGTGTGTAGAGTGTTGCGTGTGGGACATCCAGGGTGATCCAGAGTGCGAACAGTGAGTTGTGTGGGCGCTCAGTCACCATAGCCAGTTTGAAGGGAACTCCTACCTGGTTACGATATCTTTGAGTACTGTGTGGGCGCATGTCGCCAGTTTGCTGTTTCGCTGTTTGCATGCATGACAAGTGTGAAGAAGTCGAGTCTGATTGCACCTTCACGACTGGTTGTAATTGGGGCCAGATGCAGATGCCCAACCAGGAAAGTTGTGCTACACAAAGTGTGAGCATGCTCTAACCCAATGCATGAATCGCACTGCAGAATATGAAAACAAAAACGAGAGGGGCGAGTGCTTTGTTTTGTTTTGTTTTGTTTTGTTTTGTTTTGTTTTCGGTGAGAGCAGGGCAATAAGGCAAGCCAGAACACAAGCAACAACACCCACACAACAACCCACGTACAAAGTAATGGACACAACAGTCGACCACCCGTTCACACCATCCTCAAGAGCCAGGGGGGAGGCATGAGATGAACATACATTACAATGGGGAACACAAGCAATCCCCCCCCCCTCCTCCCACCTGTAAGGTGAAATGTCATGTAAATGCAAGATGTGGGAAAGGAGAGGAAGGATGGTGGAAGAGATGACGGAGGGGGGGGGGAGAGGGAGGGATGGAGGGAGGGATGGAGGGAGGGATGGATGGAGGGAGGGATTGCTTCATGATCTAAAACACAAGATGGTCCAGACTCCAGATGCTCATAGTTTCAGCGGAGGATCAAATACCGAAAAAGTTGGAAAACGCAAAAACACGTTAAAAACGTCAGCGAAATGGAGACGATACAATGCACACATACACTCAAAACAAACACACACACACACACACACAAAACACACACACAAACAAACGCACACACCAACACACACACACACACACACACACACACACACACACACACACCTTTCTCGAATCGTCTTCGGGCACGTCATGCGCATTGTCATATGACGAAATGAACCCCTGTGATCTGAGGAATTTGTACACTTGCCCCCGCTTGCTGCCATTCCAGTCGCTGCCACATCATCCAACACAAAACAATTTAATTTCTGATTGAAAAAATAAGAAAAAGAAAATTGTATTAAAAACACAAGATAGCAATACACTACCTTCGTACGATTATTTGCAGGTAGTCGACACTGTTGCATGAGGAGACCAAAGGGGAACAGTCGCAGCATGACTTTCCAGGGCGTATGTGATCGTAATTACCACCAGATTCAGTTTATTTAAGAACTCCCTAGTGCAAATATGACCTTACTCGCCACTGTCGCATCGACACGGTCGCATGAGGAGAGCAAGGGGATGACTTTTGTTCATACTGATTAACACCAGCAACACTAAGTAGTACGTACTAAAGGTCTCGCCGCACCACTTGCCAAACGTCAACATTTTGAATGTATCAGGACCAACCATTGTCTTGATACATTCAAAATGTTGGTCTTTGTCGAGTGGTGCAGTGAGGCCCCAAGTACCCTTTCTTTTTCTTTTTCTCTCCTTCTTAAACCACCACTACCTGCCCCCTGCAAAAAAAACAAACGAGTGAGTTGCACTGTTCCATACATCAGAAAGTTTTGGGGCTCGGGGGTACTGGACTGAGGCACACTCTCTCTCTCTCTCTCTCTCTCTCTCTCTCTCTCTGGGGTACTGGACTGAAATGGCAGGTGCCGCCAGCCTCAAAGGCTCGGGGGTACTGGAGTGAGTCTCTCTCTCTCTCTCTCTCTCTCTCTCTCTCTCTCTCTCTCTCT